AAGAGTGAAAAATTTAAGGGGGTCTGAATACTTTCCGTACCCACTGTATATATATATATATATATAGTAAAATAAATAATAATAGTAGAATAGTAAAATGTTACATTTGAAAGGTAAGCTTCACTTGTGTAATGAATAAAGTAATGGAAGTAATTACAGCCACAGATTTGAACGTGTCTATTTTGACTCATAATTTGATCAGACTGACAAAAGTTACGACATCTTTACACAAAACTGAAATAAAACAGAAAATTGCACATTTATTTTCAGAATGATAATTGCACTGCACACTACTCACATGGTGACATTCTAACAATGTAGCATACTACCTTTTGAAACATGCATCTTCCAAAAAAGAGGGATAGGAGCTGAAGTTCATGGTGTGTTTAAAGATTCTTTACTTTCTTCAAATTTTGTTCAAAAATATTTTATGATATTGACCCCTGGTGTCTCGATGGCTCTGATCTGCTTTTCTTCAGAAAGACCAACCTGAGGAGTCTTGTGAGAGTGTTCTGCATGAACTCGCACATCTTCATGCCATCCTGAAAAACACAACAATCATTATATCAGCTGGAAACAGTGCATGTATTGTTGTTCAGTGTGATGTTCTTGGAAGCTACAGGAGTTCTTGTAAGTCTCACTGAGGTCCACTTTATAATGATAGTAAAGTTAGACAAGGTTGTATTTTTGTTGGAGTTTTTAGTTCTGAAAATTACAGTATGTTCTCTGAGTACAGTTTTTTTTAATCTTAACTGATAGTGTAATGAAAATGTAATGACAATCCGACCTTTATCTGATAAAGGGTCTAACAGGGATTCTCACGTGTGGGTTTGCTATGGCTCTGACTGCATTGAGGTCAGATCCAGAGCAGAAGGTTCCAGCAGCTCCCTGCACAATCACAGCTTTCCCTTCTGTCCAGGTCTCCAGCTCACGCACCCGCTGCTCCAGTTCAAGCATCATGCTGCCTGAAAAAACACATGTAAACCGACAGAATTAAATTATGAATGCAATTCATCATTTGGCATGTTTTTTATAATTGCATTTACTTTTTCAGATCTCCAGATTTTATTTTACTGTTTAACTCCAGATCCAGACTATCAATCTTAAAATATGAAAGTCCAGAAAAACACGAATTACTACGTTTTAAAAACTAGGATATTCTCACAACAAAAATGAAATCAATATAAACCAAGTTTCACAGATTTTAATTTATAGTGTGTAAAAATACAATTAGTTTTGGCCCAACAACATTTTTTTCTAATGAAAAATTTAGATGAAATATGAGATATGTCATGCATGAAGAAAATTAAGGTAACTGTAATTTTGTCAAATTATGCAAAAAAAAAAAAGTGTACAAATATTATTTGTATAAATTGCTATTAGGCCATTTAATAAATAATATTTGACCAATATTACTTGTATGTAGCCCCTTAGCAAGACAGCTCTCTCCCATTTTATTCCAAAAGTTTCATTTTTTCACCACTAAATTTTAAAGGGGTGGTTGATTGCGATTTCACTTTTTTAACGCTAGTTAGTGTGTAATGTTGCTGTTTGAGCATAAACAATATCTGCAAAGTTACGAAGCTGAGTGCGTTTTTCAGAGAAGGGACAGAGCGGTGTGGAATAAAGGTAAATTATGTGAAAAATAATGCGTTTTAAAAAAAACTAAGCATTAACACATGTTAGATTGCACCCCATAAACACAATCAAGCCTAGAAAAAAATCCAGTGAACCACCCCTTTAAATAATAACTAATCCAGATAATGGCTCATATATGCGCAGTAAGCATGAGTACCTGAGAAGGCGTTCATGCGCGCTGGATTGTTGAGAGTGAGCAGCGCAACGCCCGAGTCCCGCTGCTTCTGGAGCTCTACGGATCCTCCCGAGAAAGCCTGCAGCTTTTCCCGGATTCCCTCAACAGCAGATCCGCTCGTGTGGCTGCAGACGGCTCGGTTCTGCTGAAGGATGCTCCTCACGGCACCGCGGCACCGAGCAGCTCCACACACACTCATGCTGCTGCTGCTGTGTGTGTGTACAGTACAGAGACACGTGTGCAGTACAGGACAGTGCTTAAACACGCACTCACTATAATCAAACTGCAATGTAAGACTTCAACTTATTAAAATAAATTAGAATGCACTGTACTTTGTCTTTTATATTGTTCTGTTTCAATGCATGTATTTTTTAATGTTTTAAAAGTACTTGACCTGTCTCCAGCCGTCGGAGTAACTTTAAAACCCGTCCTGAAAGAAACAAAGTATTGATATATAGATCCCGCCTTACTTTCACCGCACACTCCTGAAGAAAGCTACTGCTATTTGCACTCAGCCTGTTAAAGAAAATCACAAATATATAAACGCAGACGGAATTCGCACCAGATATACCGATCGGTTTGCTCAAATTAGTTTTATAGGCGATGCTTCAGATGCCCACAAGGGAGCGCTGTTCCCCAGTGCACTGCCTGCGTAGGCAGAGAATATACATTTAATTAAAAAGGTAGATTGCATAAAAACATATAACTATTAATCTGGTTCATTGATGGTATAAGATGTTAATATCACGGTACTCTGAGGTATACTGCATGCTGTGTCTACAGTTCTGGTATATGGTATGCTCAAGATTGATATTCCAATGATTTATCACAGTATTTTATGAGCATATAGCCTAAAATTGAATGTCATGGCATCTGTCTGTTATAGTACATTTTGTGCATTTCAAAGTTGAATATGACAGTACAAGCAATTAACCATATGATGATACTTGGACATTTCTGCAGTGAGATCAGATCATGGGAGCTGTTTGATATGACAGATTTTTTTTAATAAACTGAGAGATCATATCTTTAACTTTTAGATGTTCGTTTTTAGATGTTTTAGATGAAAATACCAACGTTGCACCATGTTGTTTTTTTCCTCCTCCAGACCACAGAAGCTCTGCGCCCCAATGTTCATACTATCCATCCTAAATAGTATGTGAGATTAGAACTAGATTAAAAAAAAAATACTTTGTAGACAAACTTTAAGTTGGCTTGAAAAAGCCTAGCCAGAAAGTTTGAAGTTTGGAGGTTTTCAGTTTTAACCAGCTTGGAGTTTAAAGTAGTTTTAAAGTTTGGAAGTTTTGAAGGCAATACAGAAAAACAGATAGATAGATAGATAGATAGATAGATAGACAGACAGGCAGACAGACAGACAGGCAGGCAGACAGACAGATAGATAGATAGGTATAGATATAGATAGATAGATAGATAGATAGATAGATAGATTGAATAAATCAATCTATATTAGATATAATTGATAAGATTCTATAGTGTTTCTATGTGGTTGCTAGGATGTTGTTATGCAGTTGCTAGGGTACTCAGGGTGATTGCAGGGGGTTACCATGCGGTTGCTAGGGTACTCGGGTGATTGCTAGAGTGGGTTAGTATGCGTTTGCTAGGGTACTCAGGGTGTTTGCTAAAGTGTTCCTATGTATGTGGTTGCTAGGGTACTCAGGGTGGTTGCTAACGTGTTGCTATGCAGTTGCTAAGGTACTCAGGGTGGTTGCTAGGGTACTCGGGTGGTTGCTAGAGTGGGTTAGTATGCGGTTGCTAGGGTACTCAGGTTGATTGCAAGGGTGTTACCATGCGGTTGCTAGGGTACTCGGGTGGTTGATAGAGTGGGTTAGTATGCGTTTGCTAGGGTACTCAGGGTGGTTGCTAAAGTGTTTCTATGTATGTGGTTGCTAGGGTACTCAGGGTGGTTGCGACAGACAGACAGACAGACAGACAGACAGACAGACAGACAGGCAGACAGACAGATAGATAGATAGGTATAGATATAGATAGATATAGACAGATAGATAGATAGATAGATAGATTGAATAAATCAATATATATTAGATATAATTGATAAGATTCTATAGTGTTTCTATGTGGTTGCTAGGATGTTGTTATGCAGTTGCTAGGGTACTCAGGGTGATTGCAGGGGGTTACCATGCGGTTGCTAGGGTACTCGGGTGATTGCTAGAGTGGGTTAGTATGCGTTTGCTAGGGTACTCAGGGTGTTTGCTAAAGTGTTCCTATGTATGTGGTTGCTAGGGTACTCAGGGTGGTTGCTAACGTGTTGCTATGCAGTTGCTAAGGTACTCAGGGTGGTTGCTAGGGTACTCGGGTGGTTGCTAGAGTGGGTTAGTATGCGGTTGCTAGGGTACTCAGGTTGATTGCAAGGGTGTTACCATGCGGTTGCTAGGGTACTCGGGTGGTTGCTAGAGTGGGTTAGTATGCGGTTGCTAGGGTACTCAGGTTGATTGCAAGGGTGTTACCATGCGGTTGCTAGGGTACTCGGGTGGTTGATAGAGTGGGTTAGTATGCGTTTGCTAGGGTACTCAGGGTGGTTGCTAAAGTGTTTCTATGTATGTGGTTGCTAGGGTACTCAGGGTGGTTGCTAACGTGTTGCTATGCGGTTGCTAAGGTACTCAGGGTGGTTGCTAGGGTACTCGGGTGGTTGCTAGAGTGGGTTAGTATGCGGTTGCTATGGTACTCAGGGTGTTTGCTAAGGTGTTGCTATGCGGTTGCTAGGGTACTCAGGGTGGTTGCTAGGGTACTCGGGTGGTTGCTAGAGTGGGTTAGTATGCGGTTGCTATGGGACTCAGGGCGTTTGCTAAGGTGTTGCTATGCGGTTGCTAGGGTACTCAGGGTGGTTGCTAGGGTGTTGCTATAGGGTTGCTAGGGTATATATCAACGTTGTACCATGTTGTTTTTTCCTTCTCCAGACCACAGAAGCTCAGTTAGTCTGAAAAGAAATAGCTTTACTCACCTTAACAACATCAGACCAATCAGATTTATGGCTCCATGTCAAGCGCTGCTGTGATTGGACACTGACCTTGTAAAGGGCTGGGACCCAGCCTTATCTGACCTTCTACCTGATGACCCAATTTAACAGCCTACAAATGCATTTCTCCACAACATCACTTAAAAATGTAAGACATTTTAATCGGAAAACTATACGGTTTTTATAGTAGTGTATGATGGTAATTTATTAACGCAGTTTTATCTCTCATTCTGTATTCTGTACAGTTCTATGTCTATCTCAGCCTAGTTGGCATTAAGGAAAAGATAGTTTTAATTATTTATTACTCAATATTTTTAGGTTATAGACCCTTAAGGTTTTAGGTTACACCATCAGACCACAGTCCTCTGCGCTTGTATTTTTATCTGGCGCCAAACAGACGTTCACGAATAGAACTTCTTCGTCTGAGGAGGCAACAGTAAGCTGTCATTATTAATCACTTCATTTCATCGTTACACATTTTTTAAAAAGCTGGCGTTTTGGTTAAAAAGATTCAGAAGTGTTCAAAAGATTCAAAATCTCCACAGATTGTCGGCAGTTCATAGGTTACGCTTAAAATGCAATTCAAGGCAAGGCAATGTGTTTTAAGGAACATTTAGCATGAAGGTACCTATGTACGTATGATATGATATAACCAGACACAATGCTACAATATAAAGCAATGTCTAGTCAAAGTACTAAACCCAAAAGAGTGCAGGAACAAACACGTGGAGCCTTTAGATGACAGTCAAGTGTCGTCAAATTTCAGATTGCTCAGTGACAGGTCGACAGATGCTCCATCTTTCTGTCGCAGACGCCTATGTTGGGCCTCTGGCTTCCTGTTGGGAAAGATCATGTTTGAGTGAAGCGGAATAAATGTGGAGAAGGATGAGCTGATTTGCGCCTGGGGAAGGTGATCTTTGTCCTGGCATGTCGGCTAAGGTTTTCTGACAGGATGCTGCAGCTGCGAAAACATTAAAATTCTGTATGCGACTAAAGACAGCAAGGTTGGAGTCTAAATGTCTACCCTAGCTGACTAAAATAGAGTTTTAGATCCAGGGAGGTGAAATACAAAGCAAATTCAGTATGCAAAATGAACTGTACTTTGGACATTGTATTCAAAGTGGCGTTTTAGGGGCTATTGGGAAAAGGTTTAGCAGAAAAGCAGGTTTAGTCCTCATTTAATAGTGTATTTCTAGTGCATGTGTCTTTAATCCAAAATATTCTTCTGCTTTTATTTACAAAATCATGTTCTAGAGTTTTGTCTTGCTGTGTTATTTCATGGTATCACATAGAAATAAGGTGAAATGACTTTACAGCCAGGGGTTAATGCTGTAAGTGTCCACTGTGTCTTCATTCATTCTCAAAGCAAGGCATTTACTTCAAATAATGAAGTAATTAAATGCAAAAAAGTTGCACCAGTTTTTTTTTTACTTTGATTATTACCATCTACACTACAGTAGCTCCAGACAAGACCAAAAACAGGATTTTGAATAAAACACGTCTACATCTAAAAATGAGTGTCATTATTTTATTTTTATAAATGCTGAATACAGTTTCATTTGTGATATTAATTATCAAGAAAAGGGACTGCGAAGGCATTGTCTAATGATATGTCTTACATCAGATAAGCACGTAAACTGAGCACAGAATCCATTAGTTTCTGTAATTACACGAGTCAATCGTTTTGGTTAAAGTTGGTGAAAGTATAACAAAGGGTTTGATGTGAAACAGCCTTTGATATTCTCAATCAGACATCAGACCTCACACACGCACACAAGGCCACAGACAGAAAACAGGTCTACATTGGCAGTGATAAAATATAAGGATGACAGATTGAAACTGGTTTATGAAAACAGAAAACGTAGTATGCACTTGTAAATCACATTGGTATAAATGAAATGCACAGTCTGAGAAAAAAAATAACAAAAAAGGCAGTCTGATTTCATGGTTAGAAATGTAAACAACAAAAATAACAAAGGGTTTGATGTGAAACAGCCTTTGATATTCTCAATCAGACATCAGACCTCACACACGCACACAAGGCCACAGACAGAAAACAGGTCTACATTGGCAGTGATAAAATATAAGGATGACAGATTGAAACTGGTTTATGAAAACAGAAAACGTAGTATGCACTTGTAAATCACATTGGTATAAATGAAATGCACAGTCTGAGAAAAAAAAATAACAAAAAAGGCAGTCTGCTTTCATGGTTATAGAAATGTAAACAACAAAATCATCACTTGGACAGTCATTGTTGGTATTACACAGGTAATCAGGCAACATGTATAGCTGTAAAGGCATTGGGCATAATCTAACGGCCGTTTAGATGACAGTCTCTGTGTGAAAGGTGGAGTAGGTGAG